CATTTTCAAAAAAATCCTTTAATACTTAAGGATTTGATTAATTAATGCTAAATTTATCTACTGCCTCTATAAATTTATTTCTGATATTTAATTTAGAAACTTCTGATTCAGATCTATACATTTTCACACTAGGTTTTTACTGATTTCTAATTTGTTCAGGTAAATCTCTATTAAAAACATGGTATTTTATTTAATCTTCAATACTATATCACTAATAAATATACTTTTAAATATGATTATAATATTCTTAACACTATTTTTCAGGTTTTCTTTTCACTTCTGTTTATTTGAGTACTGTGTTTCTTAATTTTTAAAATAATGAAATAGGTTGAACTTATACTTTAATTTCTTATTAACTAGATTGTTATTTTTATTGATCTAAATTTCTATGTACATAATCAAAAAACCATTTCTTCTTTTAAAATACATTCATCATCCTCCATGCATCTTCATCAGTTATATCTTTTTTTAGTAATAATTCTTTTTCTTCTGCATTCAAACGTTCCCCACTTAGTTTCTCACATCTCTTTATCAATTATTCTTCTTTACCACTAGATGTACTTCTTTATGAAAATTTTCTAACTGGTACTCTGAATCTAGATTATGATATTGGTTAAATAAGTTCTTTGGTACTGGAAGTTAATTACATTAATGTTTCTTTCCTTTATAATTTTGGTGGATTTTATGGTTTTGGATTCTATGCTATAATAACTGATTATTTTCTTTATTGTTAAAATCTTTCAACTAGACTAAATATTTGATCTGCTTAATTTTTTTTAATTGATTTATGTCTTGTTTATTAACGCCTAGGATTATTTCTAACAGATTTATCAATATCATTATGATCCATTTGTAACATTTATTTAGCACTTATTGATCCTTTTAAGAAGAGATCAAAAATTTTATTATTAGGCATAGTGACTATTTCTAAACCAAGAGGTGGAGGTACAAATGTTGATTTAGTTGTTGAAGTGAATTCGACAGTTTTTGGAGTTGAATTATGAGAATGAAGTTTATCAAATTTCATAATATAAATTAACATCAAATTATTCAATTCAATTCTAATAATAAAATCATTTTGAATGATTGTTAATTATAATTAGATATATATAATACTCTAATTTAATTATGGTTTTTTACAATATATAACTTATCTTCTAAGTGTATTAATTTGTTTTGAATTTTAATATATTTTTATTATAAATATATGTATTCAAATGATCGGATAATATACATAATATTTATGCTATATGTTTTTAATTATTTATAAAATTTTGTTTTAATTCAAAAGATATATCAATAGTTTTATTAAAAAAAAAACCCACAAAATTAGATCTTTTTATAATAATAATAAAATGAATATATACTTATTATAATCATTATTCATATTTGTGAATAAATTTTCAAAAATTATAAAGTTAATTGATTATTCAAAAGAATATCTGAAATTCTTAACATTAATATCTAAATAAAACCAATATATTCAAATAGATTTGAATGTATTTAATGTAATTTAAATCAAATATGTAATTTCAGTAATGAAATATCTTGGAAACAATTAATAGGAAATAATACTAATTCTAAATCTTATAATCTCTCTAAATAAATTTTTATTATGATTTCTTAGATGATTGTTTTCTTCATATTTGATTGGATTAAGATTTTATGTATATATTTCTTATGATTTGTAAAATGCAAAATAGAGTATTGTAATATATATTAAAGTGTAAAAAATAATTATGTCATTATCTTAAAGAATAACAGTGACTTAAAAGGGAAGGGAACTACAAGAATAACTTAGAGAACAAAACAGACAACCCTAAAAACCTGCATTAGTCAAGGAAAATTAAGGTAAAACAATTAGGAAGAATTGATAGATAGTTTAGCTCATTTTTTTGATAAAGAACTTAAAGCATAAGATTAACTTAATAGTTATGCTTCATTAATACAAAATAGATTGAAATCTCCAGAATAAATTATAGAATTTCTTGAAACAAAATTTTAGAAACAACCTTTATTTGTTTAAAAGGAGATGCAAAAAGTAGGATAAAGAATATTTCACTATGGAAATAGAGAGATTCATTCCTAAGCAGTTTTGCCTTAATTAGATTTTAGGTAAAAGTAATATATGAAAAACAAATATGCAAATTACAGTGAAAATTTATCATCAAGATAATCAAGTACAAAAATAATTTAAAATGTTAGGACATCAAGTTGAGGAAGGATTAACAAAAAAAGTTAATTTCATGTTATTTTAAGAAGGAAAGATAGAGAGAATGATCACTAAGTATGAAAAATTCAATGAAAAAGCTAAATTAATACCTTAATATAAGAAGGATGATAAAAAAGGAGAAGATTTTATGAAATAGTTACTTTAAAGAATGGATGCAGGCTAAGAAACAAGAGTTGAATCATTATAAGAAATAAGATAATAGCATTAAGCAGAATTAAGTTTACTTGAATATTAAAATCTATAATAGGAGAGATTAAGATAAACTATGTCAGATTTGCATAAATCAAAATATGGAAGATATTGGAATAAATTAAAATTATCATCTAGAACAGATAAATGATAATATTGTTTTTGTAAAATATATGACTTATAAATTATTATGTTTATTATACTATCAAATATTTGGATGCATTAACTCATTCACTTTCTCAGCTCCTTAAATGAATTTTAAAATATGTTAATCTAACAAACCTTTGCTGCCTTAAATTTCTTGAGCCACTTATTTGATATTTGGTTACAATTGATGCAATAAAACTTATTGATCTTCTACATATTTAAGCTATGAAACCCAAAAATCCTATTTTTTTATAATTAATATATATACATGAGTTCTTTGATAACTTTCTAATTCAACTTTTCTTCCTGCAAATTCCTTATCAATTCTTTCAAATTCAACTGCTGATTAATCCTTCTTTCTTTAATTTTCAATACCTGATACTGCAAAGTGAATCTATTTTAATTGTCTAAATATATATATACCCAATCTGCTATATCTAAAAATGCTTTGGTATATTAAGGATCTTAAAAGACTTTTTAAAATTATGGATCAGCCTTCATCTCAAGTAATAAGTTTTCTTTTTCTTAACTTACTCCTTTAAATTAAAAGTTAGCTAATCTACTTTAAAAATCTGCTCCTTTATCTTAATCAAACCTGAATTTTAATTAGTGAATATTACACTTTCTTTTTAAAATCAGGCCAGTTGAATTTACTTTAGTCTTCATTGTAGATAATATGGAACAATTTTGACATGAATTAATCCATTCCTTAAGGTAATTATCCTATCTTATTCAATTCCTTTGAATCAATCTTTATAAGATTATTTAAGAAATTACTTTTGAGCAAGTTTCTTTCATAGCACTTGAAATTGAATCTATAGCTTTTTGAATTGCAGTTAATTCATCTTTTTTACCTTTTTTATAGGTTTCGCTTTTTTTGAGTTTTTCCTATTTATATAAATAAGTAAAACTTACTTATTCAGATTATATTTTATCAATTAGCTATTTTACAGTACGACTAATAACTGTTTTTTTCTCAACTAGCTCTTCTGTTAATTCATCACTTTAATTAATAATCCTAAAATAGAAAATTTAATGACTTTTCAAAATCTTCAGCTTCCTTTTTTAAATATTCATCTGTTTTGAAAAGATGATCACTGAGTTAAGGAACATATGTTTGAGATAAATAATCATGGAGTATTTTAGCTTTTGCGTCATTAGTTAATATGACTTCTTACATTAATATAATTGCAGAAAATAAATTTAATTTAATAATAAAACAAATAAAAAATGGGTAATTAATAATAAAGCGAATCTTAAAATGAGTTTCTAGAAAAGAAATTAGATCCTAATTATGGAGAAATTAGTCTATATAAAAATAAAATCAACAATTCAATAGTAGCAAAAATTAAATAAGTGTACTCTAATGATACTACAGCAGAAGCAATAAAATCCAGTTTAGTAAAAAGGTATATGTTGAATTTAAGTAAGATTATAATTGAATCATAAATGTTTGGTTAAAATACTATCATTTGATAATGGAAAGATGGATGACTTATGTAGTTCGTTTACAATATTATCAATAACAGTTGAATACTTAAATGAAACATTATAAAATGACATTCATCAAAGAAAGGTTCATAAGACTATATATTCAGAACAAGAACTATGTTATATTATCTATGAGATCTCAAGTCTATGTCATTATATGAAAACTCTTAATTATGAAATTATTGACATCTATCCTTAGAGAATTCTAATTGATGATAAAAGATAGATTAAATATTATGATTAGTTTTTTGATAATTCAAGACTTAGCAATTATTACTAGGTTCTCTTTAATTAAAGAGATTTAGAATACTTAGCTCCAGAATAATTAATTCTCTTAACTGAAAAAGATTAAAATGATATAAACGATTAAGAATTAGTAAATGTTTTTTGTCTTGGTCTTATGATGGTAAGTTTAATAAGTGGTTAAAGATGTGTTGAATTTTTCAATCAAGAAAAATTCTAATTTAAAAAAGACTACGTATAGAGACTAATTGATAAATATTGTTCAAAATATTAGTATAGTGATTACTTTAAATCCATCATTCAATCAATGCTCAAATTACATAATGAAGGTAGACCAAATTATCAAAGTTTATTACAAATACTCCATCCATAATAAGATAGTTTTGCCACTTTTTTGAATCCAATAGGGAAATAGGGAGGTATTAAAAATTAATAATCGTAGAAATGCTTGAATCTTAAATTTAATCATTTCGCACTCAAAGTTCAGCCTCTAAATCTCGTATTTTATTAAGTGATCCAGTAGATTTTAGTGAAATAGATAGAAGAATTATGTCTGCTAGACAAAAAGCATAAAATACTTTAGATTAAATAGGATTAGATCTAAAATTGAGTAATTTTGAGACCACTTAAATTAATATTATTGAAGCAAGTTAATGATTGTAGCAATTTATTAAATCAAATTTTATTAAAAATTATAATGTAACGATAAGAGTCATAAAAGAATCAGGAAATGATAGTTAGATTCCTTAACTTTTGTGCTATCTTAATTTAAAAGAATGTGAAGGGATACATTTAAAGATAGAGACATAAAATTATAATGATGCATATCAGAAGATTCAAAGCTATTTTAAATGGATTTATTCAAGGTTTTTCATCAATTCTATTTATTAGGATATAGGACTAGATAAATATTGAAAGTCCCTGATGTGGCTAAGTTAAGATAAAATATTATAGAAACTGATGATGGAAGTATATATTTCAAGAATTATATTAAGCATATGGAAATCCATAAATAAGACAAAAAAAGATAAGATTAATAAGAATGATTGAAAACTATTTATAGAATGGCCAATTTTACAAAAAACTAAAAAGAGTGAAGAGTTCTTAGAAATAATTCGTTCCTAATCAATATTTGGATAATGAATTTGTTAGTTAAGACTAAAAATTCTAATAAAATTATTACAAAAAAGCTTAAAAACAACCACTTTAATAAAACTAAGTTGAGCATCAATATTATGATTAGCTAATACAAAATGAATATTCAGAATAACCATAACAATATTATTAAGAGTATATGCAATAGAATTCTTAAATTCATGATAAAAGCCATTCCAATTCTAATTTATCAGGATAATATCATCAATCATAAAGATTTGATAATTAATAAGATGAAAGACCAATTAGATCAAAAAATTAAACTAATTTTTCAATTCAAGATAGGACAACACCTGAAAGAAATTCATATGATGGTGATAGACCAATATGTGGAAAGGGTAAATATACTTATGAAGAAGATGATCGACCAATAAATGCAAAAAATAATGCTAATATTTATAATAATTATGAAGATGAAAGACCTATTGCTTCAAAAAAGGCAAATAATTATTATGAAGATGATAGACCTATAGCTGCAAAAAATATAAATGCATATAATTAATATCAGGATGAAAGACCAATCAAAAAAGGAAAAGATATTTATTAATAAGAATAAGAATAATATGTAGATAATGATAGACCAATTGCAAGTACAGGAAAATATCAATAATTTGAGGATGAAAGACCATTAGGTGGTAAAGGTTAATATGATATACCTGCAGATGAACTACCTATTAGTGGAAAGGGTACTTATGGTAATTTTGAAGATGAAGAAGCACCTCCAAAGAAATAAAAGCCACCTCCCAGAAAAAAGAATGAATAAAAAAAGGAGAATAAATAAATTGAGGAGAGATAACAAAATATTTATGATAATTAAAATGAAAATGAACCACCTTTAGGAAAAATGTAAAATGAAGATTTTAATGATCAAGAAAAACCAAAACCTAAAAAGAAAGATCCTAAACTATTAGAAAATCTTAAAAAAAGAACAAAATATGATCCAAGAAAAGCAATATAGGAAGCTAAGAAAAAATAAGAAGAATAATAATAAGTTGAATAAATTGATGTTGAAGATGTAGTTGAATAATAAGAGAAAGAAGACCTTCCTTAACAATAACAGTAGGTTCCTTAAAAAAAATAGGTTTTATCATAAAAAAATCTTTAAGAAAGGTAATAATCACCTAAACCAAATAAACTTAATTTGAGTGCGACTCCAGAAAAATAAGCACCTTCAGTTGAATAAGTTGGAGAATGCTCACCTAAAGATGATGCTTCTGATTAAAAGCCAAAGAATTTTTTAAAAAGAAAATCTAAATAAATTCCATTAAAAAATCCAAAAGTAGATCCTAAAACCGTTAAATCAAAAGTAAAAAATTGTTGGAATGCTGGAAATACAATGGATGATCCAGAGTTTGATTGCAATGAGGATATACCTTAAAGTCCTAAAGCTTATATAAATAATAAATCTCCTTCTAGAAGGTTTGAATAAAAGGGATCAGACTAATAATTAAATTATTAATAATAATAATAATAATAATTATAATAATAATAACTAATATAATAATAATAGATTTAATAAAATAAATCATAGGGCCCATTACATGTGTAAGTGTAATTAGTTCAAGAGAATTTATCATAATATTAAATAAATCCGAGCCATTAAGCTAATCATTTGTAATAGTAGAAAAAGTAATCTATTCAACTTGATGAATTGGAAAGAGCTTATTATTCAAAGTACACCTAAAAATTAGAAAGTATATGAAATTGATTAATAATTTAGCGACTAAAATGAATCTTAAAGTGTTGGATCAAGAAAGATAATAAAATTCAAGAGGAGTTCCAATAATTACAACTAAATCCAGATTTTTTACTTCATTCAGAGTTAATGATTTTGAAAGACTCTTAGCCTAGTTAGAGGATTAATATAATAAATTGCAAATATCAAAATGATAAATAAATTATTATTAACTGTTATATTAAATTTGAATGGAATAAGAAATAATAGACTGGGCTAATTCATTCGAAAACACAAAGAGTATCGATGATCTAAAAACAGGTACTTTTTGATAAAAATCCAAGGTGTTGCATTATGTTAGATAATATCTAAAGAATTATTTTAAGACAAAAGATAATGTGAATTAAAGATAAGAGTAATAAATTGTACAAAACAAGACTATTAAAGTTGTATAAGGAATTTAACATTTGCATTATCTTTGTTAGAGGAAAGTCAATAGATATAAGTGAAACATTTAACAGGATAAATGCTTTACCAAAATCCATTAAAGATTTTTTAGATTCTACAATAATTTTATAGATCAAAGTCTGTATCATCGGTTTCATCAAAACCTCCTAAAGCACCATAAAAATAAGATGAGCCTTTATTTTATGTTGATGAAAACTTAGTTTAACCTAATCAATCTATCTAGAACACATCTAATGAAGAAATAATTGCAAATAAATATAAAATGATTAAACCAAATAGCCCATATTAAGAGACCAATAACAATCAATAAAGATCACAAACTCATTAAACTGAATATGCTGAAAACTCAAATCGATCAAAACCATAAAATTAATCTAATGATTCAATTAGTAATCTGACACCTATTAAATCTAATAAAGAATCATACAATTAGAAATTAAAGCATGAATTATAAGTTTTAGAGAATCAAATAGCAAAAGAATAATAAAATCTATTATTAAAAAACAATAGAGAAAATAAATCAAAACATATTTAAGAAAGCTAGAGCTAACATGAAGTATTAAATTAAGATTAAAATTGTAATTAATAATAAGAGCATTAAAATTTAATCAATAACGAATAAAAATAATAATTAATAGAATGGCTTAAATAAATTCGATTAATTAAATCAAATGCATAAGGCTTAGAAAATAAACTGCCTAAAATTTGTAAAAATGGAGTTATTTTTTTTGATTTAATTAATAGACTTACTGGTAGAGATGAAGTTTTAAAAGGAGCACTAAGAAACCCAAAAAGTCTCAGAGAAATCAGACATAATTATAGAAGAGTACTTGAATATCTGAAGTAACTTGAAAGAATGAGTTACACATATTTAAATTCAGAATAATAGTTAATTGATGGAGATGAAGGAGTATTTTGGGGTTTGATGCATGATATTAAAGTTTATTACACAAATTGTGGAAATGTCGCAATAACTAATTGTTCTTAATCAGTAGATACATCATTGAGATAAACTTAATAATAATAGTAATGTTAAAAAAATACTTAGTCTTTTTAATAAAATTCTTAATCTAAATTACAATAACAAATAACACTTTCTTAAAAAAAATAATAACATAAACAATCATTTGCAGATGCATAATTAGAAATAACAATAGATTAACCATAATAATCAAAATCTGTTAAACCAAGTACTGCAAATAGATCGCCTGTTGGACCTTATTCAAGAATTCATAATATGAAATAAGAATATGATAGTGTTAATAGATCTTTGAATTCATTAATGAAAAAATCAAATATTGGTTCTTAAAGTGGCACTCCTGTCAATTAATCCTTACAACATTCTAGAAATTTCAGTAGCTCAAAATAATAAGAAAAAGCAAGATCTGCTTCCATAAGCAAAAATTGTGTTACTCGAGAAATGGAGTTGTATGTTTAAACTTATTTTAAATAAAAGGCCATGTATAATAATGATAAGTAAATTAATAATTTTATATAGTTTGTTTACAGATCCAATTCGTAATGGAAATTATATTCTATAATTATTAGAATAGGCAGTTACAAAAAACAACTTTAAATCAATATTAGAAGTTGAATTTAATGTTGATTCAGCATTATAGGCAATAAAAGCTATTGTAGATGCTGGAAATTTACCTGCATGGGTAGGAAAAATAAATAAATCAAGTATAATGTAGTTAGATAAATCTGCTATGGGTTTGTATTGGTGGCTATTAAAATAATAAACTAAAAAAATTGAACCTAACACTAATTAATTCACATTACCCTACAGATAGGAAGAGATTGATTAATTGAAAATTGTAACTTTACATTTTGCGAGAGAATATACATCTACTCTCTAGAATTTTAATGATCTAATTTTTTAATGTTAAACTGGAATCTTGTTATGTTAAATTGAAAATGAAATATTTTAATAGAAAATTACACCCATTTATACAAAACCTATTGGAGAAAAATAATGTATAGCAAATATTAGAAAGGCTTTGGACTATTTAAAAGGAAAACCAATTGGTTAAAGATTTGTTTGGTCTGAAAAATTAATATATGAAGGAGATTAATTAATAATTCTGGGTTTATTTGAAGATTTAAGGAGGTATTTTGATGGGCTACCTTAAAGGTAGGGGGATTCATATTTTGAAGATGGTCCTTATCTAAAAAAATAAATTGTTTAAAGTAAAGGAAATTCTAAAATTGGAAATTTAATTTAATAAGAACCTTATTCTCTTATTTAAAAAGAAAGCAGCTTTGTTTAACCATTATAAGTCAATAAAAAGCTCATTTTTGATGATCCTCCTTAATTTGAATGGCTCAATAACTTTGGGTTTAAGATAAATTGGAATAATGATGTTTTGGAAGAATTCAAAGATGGGTAATAATTATACATAATGCAATAGTATTATTATTTGCACAATAGTATAAAAGCTTGAAAATATCTAATTTAAAGGATTATAATAAAAACCGAATACTAATGCAGGTTGTTTGGTAAATATTAGGAAGGCTTTCAGTGTATTGAAAGAAAAAATAGATATGCCTTTAGAATTAGTTATAGAATAAGAAAAGCTGCTGAAAGGAGATAAGGAATACATTATAAAACTACTCACTATTTTAAAAAATATTTACAAAAATAAATTAAAAATTAAATGAAATTTTCTTTATTTATAAACAATTAACTGAAATATAAATTTCATATAATTTCTTTAAGTAAATGGATATTAACAAAGTCTTGGAATTAGAAAATGAGAATGTTTTGTTGCGTTCAGAATTAAGATCATTATATGAAGAACTTGATTAGTACAAACTGTATTTTATAATTAGAAAATCTACTGATTAGAAATAAATTGAAGAGAATAATTGCTTAAGATAAGAAATTCTATAACTTAATTAAAGACTGTAGTAATCAGAATCATAAAAATAGGTAATAACACTCAAATTGATAGATCAATAAGAACTTAACATTAAATTAAGTAAAACTATCATCAATTTGTAATAAAATATTAATGAAACATAATATGATGATTTATAAAATATTAACTAATATAATATTTCAAACAATTAGAATAATAACTACATGTAGTAATTATAAGTTTTAAGATAAAGATACTAAAATAAAAATGAATTAGATAGTTAATAAAAAGATTAAGAAATATAAAAATTATATGTCTAATTATCTGAACTATAAAAAATAAATAATAATAATAGATTATCTAGACCTTTGAATAAAGAAAACATGATCAAATCTTAATATAGGCCAAGAGGTATATCTGAAAATAAGTATAATAATTTTGAAACAAATTTTACAGAATCAAGAATATTTCGTTGATTAATTTTATTTAGTTAATTGCTTATTCTATTTAAATATAGATAATTTTCATTTCAAATGATATTTATCCATTAATTGTTTTAAATTAGTTAAGTAGGTGTTCATCATTGCTAACTGATCTTGTTTTTCTTTTATTAAATTTTTGAGCCACTAAATTTATTAATTTCTAGCTTCTAATAATAGTCTGGCATCTTCTTAATCCTAATCTTTTCTAAGTTTAATAGAAACTTTTGGTTCTGTAAATTAGTATATTTATTATTAAGTTAAAAAAGGAGCTTTTGATAACAATTCCTTCACCTACTATATAACTTATCCTTAAGGACTTGTGCTATTTTAGTATGACTTTAGTTCAGCTTCATATTGCTAACATAATTATCGTTGATTGCTATATTAAACAGCTTAAGAATCCAAAAGTAATTTAAAATACATGACTAAGTTTTCTACATCCATATTTTTATCTATATCTTTTTTTTTTCCTTATATTTTTGCTTCTTATATTACTTAAAGCATTTATTATTTTAAAACAGTTATTCTAGTTAAAATTTATTCAATTCGAAATCTAAAGTTGATATAATCTCCTCGATATTATTAAAGCTTCTGTATTATTAATTATTCATCATCTTCTTCTCTTATTGTCAGACTCTTATTTTCCTTTTGGAATAGTTTAATTTGATCAAGAACAGTGGCAATATTTAATTAATCTTTTTTGATCTTCTTTTTTAAGAACACACTTACAATTTAAGTTAGTAATTCGGTTAATTCTTCACCTAAACCATGTGAGTTCTTTTTCATATTTTCTATCTCTTCTGTTTATTATTCAATTATAAATTGATATTCTTAAATTTTCATGTTTTCATGATCATTACTAACATTCTTTTATTTATTATTTTATTATTTCTCCTTTTCTTTATAATAGGGTTGTTACTTTTAATTATCAAGCAATTATTTTAATTCTTGAATTTATTATTCCTTTTATTTAATAATAAATTGAGACTACTTAAATTACCCTTCTAATTCATCTAACCTTGATTTTAATTCAAAAGAATCTGAATTTATTGAATTACCCACTAAAGCATCACTTCTTAATTTATTATATTACTTTTCTAGATTTCTATTTTTATCTTAAAGTTCATTAATTTACAATTTTAATTAATCAATTTAAGTGTTTTTATTTAGATTATCATTAGTTAATTTTTTGACTTAAGAAAATAATTCTCCAGATGATGTTTGTTCTGAATTCATTTCAGTCAACTCTAATTATAATTATTCATAACTATTTTTTGAATTATTTAAATCAGCTTTTAATTTTACAATTGCTCCTTCTAATGTTGTTATTTGTTATTCCTTTTTCTGAATAGTATGCTATAGTTATAAAATATCTGATTCTTTTGATTATAAAGCATTTTAAGAAACTTAAAGTTCTCTTTCTAAGACTTTATTTTTCTTCTAAACTTAATGCATTTATTCTTACAATTCTATTTTATTAGTTGCCATTAAATTTATTTCTTTATCTTTTCCTTTATATATATCTAATTCTTATAAGGCCAATTCGTATCTACTTTGATAATCATCTCTTTAATCTTCCACAAGCCTTAAGTTTTCTTCATTTTATTAAGCTCTAAAATTTATTGAATCAAATTTATTCTATAAATTGAAAAGAGCCTTTGATTTCTCATCAAAATCTATCATCTTTTCGTTATACTTTTCTTCTAAATGTTAATAATCAATTCTTAATTTCATCAAATTTTACTCTAAATTTAATTGATTCCCTTTCAAAACAGATAATAATGCTTCCTAATTTTAAATTGTGGCTTCATGAGAATATACTTATTATTTTAATTCTCCATTTTCAACCTCGATTTATTTTAATTATGCCATAGCTTACATGTCTTAAGCTCTTTTTTACATAATTTCATGATTTTCTTTTCTAACTTATTGTAACTATGAATTTGATTCTTTTAATTAATTTGTTAAATCAATTATTTTTGTTTCATAAGAGACAATAGTTGCTAACTTTTAATCAAGTAAATCAGTTAAACTTTAAAGTTCCTTTTTTTACTTTTAATGTTGATCCTAAATTTCGTTGTAATCTAACAATTATTTTTCTAAAGAACTTAACTTTTGACTTTACTCCATATATCTTTATTATAAAGAGCTGTATTCAATCGATTTACTTTAGAGAGATTGCATACTGTTTAGTTCAACATCATATCTCTTTTTTAGATCATCATATTAATTTTACAAATCCTATGATAATCTATTGCTTTAATTATACTTTTCTTGTATTTTTATAAGTTGATTTTCTAATTAACTTATTTATTAGACTTTATCATTTGCCTACTTTTCTTTAGCCCTTCTTAAACTTTCCTCTTCTTATACTTTATATTTCAATTCAGTTATAGTAGTTAATTATTCTTCTATCTTTGCAGTGTATGATTTAATTTCTTAATTTTAGGCTTCAATTTTAATATTCATGTTTTAGTTTTATTATTCTAATCTATCCCATTTTAATTATTGTACTTTGTTATTCTCTAAGTTAGATTCTCTTGATTAATTTTGTTATATTTCGTAATCTTTAATTTACTTATTTACTTGTTCTAGTGTTAACAATTATTGTTGTAATTCTTCATTTAAGTTAGAAATTTCATTTCTCAATTTTTTATCATTTTATTATAACTTTAATATCTAAGCTTCTGCTTCTATAACCCTTTATTTTTATAAATCTCTTTCAGAAATAACCTTTGAAATTTCTGTCATGTATTCTCTCTCTCTAGAATTTAATTAATCCTCAAGATGTTTCACTTATTTGAGTGAAAGGGTGCGTTACTATTCTAGGTTATAAACTTTTTCATTCAAATTTCTAATTTATTCATTAAGACTGCTTACTTATTCTTGTCTAGAGCGTATTTATTCTTCTTTCATTTATAATTGTCTTTTTAGATTTTCTTATTCGGTTCCAAGGATTGACTTTTCATTTTGCTCTGCTTCATTTGATTCCTTAACTTTGTGAATCTTTTCTTTTTACCCTAAAATTATTAATTCCTATTCTTCAATTTTTTACTTAAGACTTTCGTATTCTCTTCCTTTGTTTCCAACTTAAAATTATAAACTGTCTAACTAGCTTCTATATTCACTTTACTTTTTTAAGCTTTCAGTCAATTAATCATCTAATTAATTCTTTTAAGTGTTTAATTCCTTTATTTTTGTCTCATATGAAGTTATTAATTCCACTTTTTCTTATATTGTTCTATCATACATTCTTTTTTAGTGTTCTAATTCTACAATTTTCATTTCGGCTGCCCTGAAATTATCTTAAAGATTTTAATGCATAGTTGATAGTTAAGTTAATTGAGATTTTGATTTAGATAATTCTAATTATAATTATTCAATCTAAGCACTAAAGTCTTGAATTCTCTAATCTTTTTATTAGTTTTATTATTAAATTGTCTAAGATCTATTTTATCTGAAATTTGTTTATTCTATAAGTTAATCATAATCAATTTATAAATTTTATGATTTTGTTCTTTCTTAATTTAATTTGATAGATAATTCTTCAATTTATTAAAATAATTGTTTTGTTAAGGTTGTTTTTGCTTCTAATTCAAATTATAATTGTTCCCTAATTCTTTCATAGCTTCTCTCATTTTCATCTTTTGTAATCGTAATTATTGGATTTTAAGAGTTTACTTTTGTTTTTAATTCTTAATTTATTAGTACTTATTCTTTAAGCTTATGTTCGATATCACTCAATTTTGATTTCCACACTTTTTCTTAATTTTAATAATTACTAATTTAAAGTGATAATTCACCATTCTTTTTTCTCTCCTAAATAAATTAATCACCTTCTGATTTCATACTACTTTCTTCTAAAAGTCCTTGAATTTATCTTTAAAGTTATGTTATTGTTGATTCTCTCTAACTCAATTAAGCATTAATCAAGAATTTTTATTATTCAAGTTAGGTGATTTAAATTTATAGTTTTCTAGTTTCATTCTAATCGCTTGATTTTGAATTTTATTCTAATACTTAATTTTCCAAATCTGAAATCTTCTTCAATAACTTAGCATTCTCATCTTATAATTTTTACATTTCCCTTAAGTATGAATTTGATTTCAATCCATCACCACTAGCTTAACCTCCCTCTAAGGCTTTGGCTTCAAGTAATTATATTTTATATTTATTATTCTCAGTTTATTATGAAACCAAATTATCCTACAATTCTTTATTTTTTTTCTTATATTCATCAATTATTCTTGATTTTTCATTCATCTCTTTTTCAATTTAATGTGTTATTTTTGTTTAATCTATAAATTTGCCTTCTGACAATTAAACATCCTTTTTAAGCTTTTTTATTTCCTCAAATAGTTTTTCATTTTTTTCTTGCATTTCCAAAATTTTAATATTTTAATCCTTAACTACTCTATGCTTTAATATTAAAACTTCTTCCAATTTATTGATATAGTCTGTTAACACAGCAACATCTTCATCAGCTTCTTCTTAATTAAGTAAATGTAAGGTTTTTCTCCTCAAATTAGAAAATACTAAGTCTTCATCTTCAACTTATTTTAGATCATTTTATAAATTAGTTTAATCTTTCTATTTCAGTTGAACAGTTTTTTTTCTAACTGATTCTGTTCCATTTAATTGTTAGTTTAATTTTGCAATTTCTTGTTTTTAGTTTTCAACAATTTTGTTTAAAATGCTGACTCTATCAAAATCCATATTACTAGATGTTTGATCTTAGATCACAGAAGAAAATCTACTGGTGATCTATGATCTTGACATTGTTTTAGTATATGGTGAAAATTAAACACTTTTAGTTTTGAAGTATCCTTCTTAAATCATCGAATATTTAACTTATCTTAATAAGATGACTTCAATTTCTTCAATATTTAATTGATTGGCTTTTACATCAGCAATATTTTAAGATAATGCTGATGCAATAAATTTTATAAATTCTTCCTACGCTTATTAATGTAATGAATATAAAGAGTCTATAATGTAATATGTTGATTCAAATTGTAACATATTTATTGTAAAACATTATTGATACTTAATTAATCTTGACTTCAAAAAATTTGTTATCAAAGGCTTGTCTTGGGATTACATTTTAAATGAAGAATTTAGTACTAATAGTACTCTATCAATATCTTCTCCATTATCATATTACATAATATTGGCAGGATATAGATTTGCTTATACCATCTCTGCAAAAAAAATGTTGAGCAATGAAAAGGCAGCTGATTCAGACCCAAAACAGAGAAAAAACACTGTTAACATAATTAAATCTGGTGAAAACCCGACCTCATTATAATTTGAAAGAAATGTTTCTAATACCCTACCTGTGACTTATTTCAATGTTTCATATTCATTATCTTTAAGAACATGATATATGAACTCTCTTAATGAATAGTTGAAAACTCCAGGTATTTCAGCAAATGCAATATTTAAATTATTTTTAAGCTTTCTAATTTCTGATTGTTCACTCTGCGAAATCTTACTTTATGCTTACAAATATTCCTAATTGAAAATATACAGAAGTAATTACTGTTTTGGCTTATTCCTTTGTAACTCCAAACTAACTCAACCACTCAAGCGCCTTTGTATCCTGCAGAAATTAGATATGATTAGTATCCACAAATTTTTTTATTGAATCGCTTTCCTCCTTACAAATGTTGCATTATCTATGTAAAGCTTTTTCTTCTTATCCTGATTCTGTAAATACTCTTCCTTTATGATTAGAACACTTTTCACAAACAGCTCTTTTGCATCTAAAATATAGATATTATATTACCTTTTGCATTAATGTTCTTTTCCAAATTTTTTCTAACAAATTTAGCAAGCTTTGTACTTTCCTCTTTCACCAGAAATTAATACTCTTTTAAATAGAGATTGGTTTTTCTTCATTAAATTATGAATAATAATTTTATTTAATATTGTAAATAATTTCAATTTATTTAAGCCATTTCTTCTGATAATGTCTTAAATTGTACAAGCAATGTCTAGAGCTTTTTAATTGACTTTTCTTGCTCGACAATTTTCTTATCCTTTTCCACAATAATCAGTTCTAGTTCTTAAATTTTCTATCTCAATTCTCTAATAATCTTCTCGTAATCAATCAGGTCTAGTTTCTACTTTTCAATTACTTAAATAAGTTTTATTATTTCTGATTCTTTGGTTTATCCTTCTTTAATTAAAATTGTAATTTTTTCATCTTGTTTAATAATTTCATTCTTGTAATCTTGATTATATAAAATGAGTTCTTAAATTCTTTTTTCTAACTCTAAAACATCTAATTCAAGCTTGCTATTTCTATTTTCTAATTTTGTCACTTTCTCTAAATGCTAAGTTATTTAAACAAGTAATTATTGATGTCTATGTTATTGGTCTTTTTCTGCTTAGGCTATTTTCCCTTCTAAATCTTTTATTATAGCTTATAAATTATCAATTTCTAATTTTTAATTTTCGCTTAATGTTTTATATTCATGAGCCTTCTTTTCTAAACCAATAATAATTAAATCTAGTTCTCCTACTTTCTTTATGTGATTTTAGGTTTCTTTCTCCAATCTATCCAATAAAGCTTGATGTTAATTTTACAATAATTAATGCTTATCTTCCAAGGCTTTAAGCTTTCTTTGAAGATCATCATTTTGAGATTTTAATTCATTCATTTTTTCATTAGTATTTTCTTTAACTTTTTCATATTCTATAACAATTAATCTGTATTTTTCCTTTAATCCTTAATGTTCACCTTCAACTTCATTAAATTTCCTTTTCCATTCTTCACATTCAGCAATCAATCTTTGATGTTAACCACTTAAATCTTTATGATCATTATCCAATTTTGTCCATTTCTCTTCTAAACTTACAAATATAATTTTAAGAGCCTTGAATTCCTTCTTGTGCTCCTCTAATTTAGCATCCTTCTCTGCGATATTATCCTCAAGATTTTTGATTTTTTGATTGTTTTGTTCAATTATTTGATTCAACTCTTCAATTTTCTTTCTATCATCTTCCTTCTATTTATGGTGATTGGCTTCAATTTCTGCAATTTTCTTAACTCCCTTAGCAATACCTGCCTCAAGGAGTTTAATTGTTTCATCTTTTTCTTAGACTAAATTTTACATCTAGTTATTATGATCTAATGATTGATTTAATTGATCTGAAGTGGTTTAGTATTATTTATTCATTTCTGCCAATCTATTTTTTAAGTCCTCAATAATTAGTAGTAATTCATTCTCTTTTCTATCATATTCCTCTAAATTTTATCTTTTTTCAATTCTTACTTGATCCAACTCTTCACTTTATATTTCATGCTATTTAGATAATTGATCATATTTAGCCTTCAAATCTTCAAGCTCCTCTTGTTATTAAATTATCACTAATTCATGATGCTCAATCTTTTTAAAAAGAGCTGCAATTTCAAGAGTAAGTTTTTCATTTTCTCTTTTTGTTGAATCCAATTCAATCAATCTTACTTCCAAATTTCCAATAATCTTGAGCTTATCTTAATTTAATTGTTATAAACCTAACAATTCTTTGTTTAATTAATTCATCTATAATTCCAATTAAACTATTTTTTATTACTCTTAATCTATTTATGATTATAATTATTCCTCGTTTTTTTTTTAAATCAAAGCAATATTAATTTAATAGTTTTTCTCTCTTGATGGAGTCATTGGAGAAGGAGGTTAAAGTTAAGAGCTTTAATTCTTTAAATCTTTAATCTGAAGATATAGATCTTTATTAGTTCTTAAAGATGTCTCAAGCTATTATTCTAATTCTTTATTTGATTTCTATATTGAAGTTACCATCTCTTGAGCATCTTCTTAAAGTTTATTGGAATATTTGTTCTATTCTTCTAATTGTGATATTTGTATGTCTTATTCCTAAATTCTTTTTCTTAATTAATCGTTAGCGTCTATTAATTACTTATCAACGTCTTAATTATTATTAATTTAGGGAGGTTAGTTTTATAATTCTTTCACTCTGTTTTATAATTCTGTTACTAATTTATGCTTTAGCATTAAGGTTTCTTCAATCTTTTCAATATATTATTTGAGATTAGCTTTTTCTTCATCACCCTCTGGAGTTGCTTTTACTTCAACTGATTTTCTTCTTAACTCTTGAAAGCTTTTATCTTAAAGAGCTGCATACTCACTCATGTTTTGATCAGTTTTAATTTATATTTCAACCTTAACATCCCTATTATGTTCTGGCTATATCTAACTTGATGGTTTTTTTTCATTTGATCTTTATATGACCACACTTTATGTCACTCGTTTGTGAGGTATAAATATTATCACTTTAGTCAGTAGAAAATCTTTCTCACATTGGGTTGATTTAACATTTCTCAAAATCTAAGCCTCAGCATCTTCTTGAGCATTTATAAAGATTTTAATATCTTCAAATTATTGATAAAAGCTAACTGCTAAACATTTGATAAAATTGTCATATCCCGTTTTTGGACCAACTAGTATTTGATTAATCATGTAGAAAGATGTCTAAAACTAATAAAAGTTGATTCCCAAAGAAAGAACATATCTTGTGATTCTAGTTCTAACAAATGGTTTAATGTTTTATAATTCTGATTGTTTAATTTTAAATCCTTGCTCCAATACTTAAAGGACCTAATCTATTTCATGTTGATAATCATAAGGGGTCCTTCTTAAATTCAATGGGTACAAATAAGAAGGAATAACTTCTGAGTATAATATTGTTAAGATAGTGAATGCTGATGCTTCAGAACAGAAACACAATAAAAATATTGTAAGTATAACTTAGTCTGGGCCATATCCTATTTCTGGATATTATAATAGAATGGCTCCCAAAACTCGACATATTTGTTATTGTAATTAATCTAATTCGAGATCCTTCAATAAATAAAACAAAAATTCCCTCAAAGAATAATTTAGATTAAGCCAGAAGTCAATCATCGCCAATTGTAATTCTGATTTCATTTTCATGAACTCTCCTTTATCTTTTGCACGGTCATTCTCTTTTTAAGCAAATTCGTATTCCTATAATATAAAATGGTAGTACTTTCTTAGCAATGTCCACTGTTAGACCAGATGCCTTTAGCCAATCAATTGAAAATGTATCTTTTCCTAAACCTATTTTGTATTGTTCGATAAACTTTTTTATTGACTCGCTTTCCTCCTTGCAGGTATTGCAAATTCTGTGAGTTTATTTTGAAAATCCAGCATCACCTAGGACAGGTCCATGATGAGTCGCGCAATTCTAACAAACAGCTCTTCGACACCTAAAATTGAGATTCCTTTTCTTACCTTTTGCATTGGTGTTCTTTATGAAAAATTCCAAATTCTTTCTGGCAGATTTAACATTTTTTAAATTTGCCTCTTGCTTCGCTTATGATTACAGTTTTTATCAGAGTTTGGGTAGATTTTTTTGACATTTGGATATGAAAATAAAAAATATTTAGAAAATTTGATTAATATCATCACTTAAATTTTGATTCTTTCTGAATATAAATAATATCTCATACAAGCTTGTAAAATATAGAATAATATATATATACATAAAATGAATATTAACATTGAATCATAATATTGTTTATTTAATCGTAATATCATTTAAAGTGAGTTTATATTTAATTTAAAACAACTTTAATTAAGAATCAATTTTACATCATCTTAATCAATTTCACTTCATAACATCTAACCAGATTAAATTATTAGTAGGGAAAAGATAGGAATTCAATAACTAAATATATGATTTCTGTTAAATTTTTTCTCTTTTAACATCGCTTTTATTAAGATTCATCTTCAAACCTCAATTATTTAATTAATTATCTTGATTCTAACTCTTCTTTGCCAATAAAATTATTTTAGTTTTAATTATAACTATAATCTTGCAATCTTTAAACTTGGGATTTAATTTAAATATTAACTAAAATTCAGATGAAATAGTTTGAATTTTTGCTAAAATATTTGTAATAATTTTCAATCTCATAAATCTATTTACAAATTACTATACTAAAACTTCTTGAAAATTTTTATTGAATTGTTCAATCATCTATTAGTTATTTATAAATAAAGTTAAAACTGTACTAAAAAATTTCAATAATAAATTCCAATTTAATTGGCATCTATCGTTTAATTCACTTTTATAATATGCTTTTTGCTTTATATTTAGACAGTGTAATGTTTTTCTTCTAATACAAGTATTTGCACAATGCAGATATTTTTGCATATTGATAAAACTTATAAACATATATAGATTGACTATAGTGTGATTAAACTTTTTTATTAATCCTTTTTAATATAAATAATTACTTACATGTTATAATATTTTGTTGATTTGGAAGTTAAATTTATAAATTTTATTTTTATTAAATCATAGTTTTATATTGACATTTCACTTATCATTATGAGGATTATATATAATTCATTTATAAATTAAAGATTTTGAGAATCATTAAACCTGTAGCGTTCTATCGATACACAGTTATAAAAGATAAACTCAATACAAAATTCAATATTTTTTATATTTATGCTAATCATTCTTCTGATTATACATATATATCAAGAATATGCTTTTAAACTGTTGGCACTGTACTCTAAAAATGTCATATTTTCATCCCATCTTCCTAAGAGAGCTGGAATGTTATAGGCTGGCTTATTCAATGCATTATCTTTGTCTATCCCCTTTGGAACATTTAAGACTTCATTAAATAATGGACCCATAAAAACTGCGAAAGTGTTTCTGTTCAATTACCTCCTTACTGTCTCATCACTTTTAACAACCTATTAAATTCATATATATTTATACACAATGAGGTGTGGCTTCCACTATTCCTCCAGATACTATTTATGCTGTTTCTCCAATCTAAAATGCCAAGCAATCTGGATCCATTCCTACTTTCATTATCTCTGCATATCTGTTTT